ATGGAATTAATGGAACAATTGAAAAAATATGAGATATGACATATAAAATTAGCAAAATGGGAGAAGTAAGTCTTTTTTATCAGTAATTATATTATATATGAATGGATTAAACTCACTAAAGTTATAGCTTCACTTAATGAATAAAAATCCAAAAAATATGATTCAACTATATGTTGTTTACAAGAAAATCCCTTTAGATTCTAAAACACACATTAATTGAAAGTAAAAGGATGGAAAAGCATATTCTATACAAACAGCAGCCAAAGAGATCTAGATTGGCTACATTTATAACAGAAAGGATAAATAATAAGAAATTAAGGCTTTCAAACGACAAATGATATTATATAATGACAAAAGAATGAATTCATCAAGAATATGTAAAAATTATAAACATTATATAATGACAAAAGAATTCATCAAGAATATGTAAAAATTGTAACTATTCACGTAATAAAAGATTTCTAAAATATGTGAATTATAGAGTGAAAAATTGAAGGGAGAAATTAATGATTCAAAAATATTAGTTGAAGAGTTCAGTGTCCCACCTTTAAAAAAATGAATGTGACTAGGCCAGGCAGGATGGCTCACACCTGTAACCTGAGCAGTTTGGAGGCTGAGGCAGTGGATCACCTGAGGTCAGCAGTTCATTATCATCTTAGCCAACATGGTGAAACCCCGTCTCTATTAAAAAATACAAAAAAAAAGAAAAGAAAAAAATTAGCTGGGCATGGTGATGAGCACCTGTAATCCCAGCTACTCAGAAGACTGTGGCAGAAGAATTACTTGAACCTACTAGGTAGAGGTTGCAGTTAGCTGAGATCGCACCACTGCACTTCAGCTTGGGTGACAGAGCAAGACTCCATCTCAAATTAAAAAAAAAGAATATAACTAGACAGAAGATCAGCAAAAATTAGAAGATTTGAATAAAGAATACACCAACTAGACCTAACATACTCCACCCATAAAAAGCAGAATGCACGTATTTCTCAAATGGACATGAACATTCTCTAGGAAGATAATGCATTAGACCATTAACCGAGTCTCAATAAATTCAAAGATTGAATTATTACAAAGTATGTTCTTAACACTACAATGGAATAGAATTTTTTAGATAATGTACAAATATATAAACATTAAACAATACATTTCTAAATTACCATGGAATCAAAGAAGAAATCACAAGCGGTATTAGAAAATACTTTAATATGAATGAAAAGAAAAAAATAATGTAACAATGGAAAATAACAAAAGTCGGTTCTTACAGAGAAATTTGTATTCTTAACCACTTATGTTAAAAAGAGAAAAAATAATTCTCAAATCTAAAACTTAGCCATCCTCTTTGAAAAGTAGAAAAGAGAAAACTAAACCCAAAGCAAGAGGAAGAAAACTACGTGTTAGAGATAAATTGTAGAGAAAACAGAAATAACAATTGAAAAAATTACCACACAACCGTAAGTTGGCTTTTTAACAGATCAATAATATTGACTTACTTTTAACTACAATGACTAAGAAAAAAAAGAGAAAAAAATTAAATTTCTAAAATCAAGAAAGCAGATGGGATATCACTTCTGACCATAGATAAATTATATATGTAATTCTACATATGTATCAGTTAGAGAATATATATATAGTGACCAGGGTCATGCCTATAATCCCAGCACTTTGGGAGGCTTAGGCGGGCAGATTACTCACTTGAGGCCAGGAGTTTGAGACCAGCCAGGCAAATACGACAAAACCCTGTCTCTACTAAAAATACAAAAATTAGCTGAGCATAGTAGTGTGCTCCTGTATACCCAGCTACTTGGGAGTCTGAGGCACAAGAATCATTTGAACCCAGGAGGTGGAGGTTGCCCCGAACTAAGATCATATTACTGTGCTTCAGCCTGGGTAAAATATATACATATATGTTAGGGAGACATAAATATGTGTGTGTGTGTGTGTGTGTGTGTGTGTGTGTGTGTGTGTGTGTATAAAATAACTCTGGGAACAATTGTTATGTCAAAAATTTAGATAATCTAAATTAAATATAACAATTCTAGAAACTACAAATGACCAAAATTGACTCAAGATTCTGAATAAGCCTATAATAAATAAAGCTATGAATTTAGTAAACAAAAAAAACGTTCAGTCAAGAAAACCTCAAGGTCAAATGGCTTCACTGGTGAATTCTACCAAACATGTAAAGAATTAACAAAAATCTTTCTCAAAATCTTCCAAAAAATAGATGAGAAGGAAACATATTCCTGACTCATTTTATAAGGCTATATTACCAAGATGCCAAAATAGAGAAACAAATCACAATAAAAAACCTACAGATCCATATTCCTTACAGATATAGATGCAGATGCCCTCAATAAAATAATAGCAAACTAAAATCAGCTACATGATAAAGTGGGATTTATTCCAGGAATGCAAAGTTGGTTCAGCATAAAAAAATCAAACAAATATAATACAACATATTTATGGAAAAGGAAAAAAATAAAAATGCAATCATACTTATAGGTGAAGGATTAAACTTTCTCCCTAACATCAGAAATAAGACACAGATGTCTGCTCTTACCAATTCTATTCAACATTATACTACAATTTCTAGCTAGGGCAATTAGGCAATAAAAATAAAAACGTACAAATTGGAAAGGAAGAAGTAAAACTCTATTTGCAGATGACATGATTTTATTTATAGAAGATCCTTAATAAACCACATCAAAATTGTTACATCTATTAAGCAAATTCAGCAAAGATTTAGGCTACAAATCCAACATACAAAAAGTCAGTTGTGTTTTTGTACAAAAGCAATGAACAATCTGAACAGAAAGTTAAGAAAATCAATCCATTGATATTAGCATCCAAACAAATACAGTATCTATAAATAAATGTAACCAAGGAGATGAAAGTTGTATACACTAAAAACTATAGAATATTGCTGCATGAAATTAAAGAAGCCCTAAACAAATGGAAATGTTTATGTTAGAGAGAGAGAGAGAGAGAGAGAGAGAGAGAGAGAGAGAGAGAGACCTAGTGGAAATATATCCTATGTCCAAAGATTGAAAGCCTTAACATGATTAAAATGGCATTACTACCAAATAGCATGTGCAGATTCAATGAAATACCTATCAAAATTCCAATGACTGCTTTTGCAAAAATGAACAAAATGGCCATAACAACATATGGAAATGTAAGGGACCCTGAACAGCCAAAACCATCTTGAAAAAGACGAAGAATGATGAATAACAGTAAGAGGAGACTCAAGCTTCTTGATTTCAAGTTACTCTAAATCTATAGTCATCAAAACAGTGTGAAACTTGACTAAGGATAAATATGTAGATCAATGGTATAAAATTTGGAGTACAGAGATTGAACCCACATAGCTATGGTCAATTGGTTCTCAACAAAGTGTGCAAGATAATTTAATGGGGAAACAAACGTCTTTTTAACAAATGGTGCTGGGACAACTGGCTATCTAGGTGCAAAAGAATGAATTTGGATGTCTACCTTACACCCTCACACAAAAATGAACTAAAGGCGCACTAGTAATACTTCAAACTGTAAAACTAATAAAAAAACGTAGGCCTAAATCTTCATGACCCTCGATTAGACAACAGTTTCTTAGCTATGACACCAATTTGTAATACTCCATATCATCCTAAATACAAGGAGAGTATCAAATTTTTAAAGTTTTGGTAACATTTTGATGATGCTCTTGCTTTTAAAATGTATCTTATTGTTTGGTTTGTATTTCTTTACTGCTGCTGTTGATTTGTTATTTTTATTTCCTATATTGTGTGTGTGTGTGTGTGTATGTACATATGTATATCTGTCTTATATTCTACTCTTTTGTACAAAAATCTCAACGAAGAGCAGCATATCAATTTAAAACCTTTCACAACTTAGCATGTGCAAACACAGTATGTTTCTGTAAATGCTGAGTTTAATAGCTTGCCGGTGAAGTAAAGTTCCTTTTTTGCCTTCGTTTTTACCATTATTATCATATGGTATTTTTGGAGGCATTCACTCATGATTTACTAGAATTATTGATATTTTTAATTACTAACTGCATTCTAAATGAATAAAAATACTGATTTAATGAATAAAAATACTGATTTATCCTAAAGGAAAATAAAATAGAAAGAACCTTCAAATAGAAATGAACATTTCTTTAACATTTTCATATTTTCTTTTAATTTAATGTACCTCCAGTGCACATAATTAAACTTATATTGAATCCCAGATAAAGCAGACTATTGTAGCCATTTTGAGGACTTATAATGCAATTTATGTCCTGAATTATGGCCTTCTTTTCTCTTAACAATTGTGGCTTCCCTTACCACTGTCAGAAAAGCTGTATGTTAAAAGGAAAAGAAATGCATTCTTTTTAAACAAAGAAAACTATGAAATGATGAATTATATTTTATGAAGTTTTGTTTTTAGTGGCTTGCTTTATAAAGATTCTAAGTTATGTTTTAAAAGATAATTATGTCCTCATAATGTCCTGATAATCCAGAATTAATTTCATACTTAAATAGCCATGCTTGAAGTATTTTTAAATCACAGTTTCTTCATGATCACTTCTGTGGATTATTGGTCCATGGCATAACATGATTCAAATAAATGATGAACAAATTAATGTGAAGCTTTTATAATATTTAAAAAAATTAATGTTGTTTGGCAATGGGCCCATTTAACATGCCTGCTTTTCCTTGTAGATAATTCAACATCAGTATCCCCAGTCATTTTAACCTCATTAGTACTTAGAGGAAAAGGGATTTTTTTAATACAAAAATGGAAACCAAAAGCATTTTCAGAGTCATTGCTTCAAGAAATATTAAACCATTTAAGATAATTGACTTTACACTGTATTCTAGTATTTATTGATTTATTTATTATTTTTTAGTGGATAAAAGTAGCAAAAATATTGGGAATAGAGGGAGAAGAAAAACTACTTCCCATGCTGTCCTGCTAGTACCTATTGATGTTTTCAGTTCCTGTCTTTTCTTTTGCAGGAGTAACAACTGTCCTAACAATGACAACTCTAAGCATCAGTGCTCGGAATTCTCTCCCCAAAGTGGCTTATGCGACTGCCATGGACTGGTTTATTGCTGTTTGTTATGCATTTGTGTTCTCTGCTCTAATTGAGTTTGCAACTGTTAATTACTTCACCAAAAGAGGATGGGCTTGGGATGGGAAGAGTGTAGTAAATGACAAGGTAAGTGAGAACTTCCATGTTATCATTATTAAGAAAATCCCCTAATGAATTAAGCTTGTAACAGATATGTTTCTAAAAACTGACATTAAAGATATCTATCTATCTATATATGAGCTAGAATCATATCAATTTCTTTTAAAGTGTTCTTGCCTGAAACCCTTTAGGAGTGCTTGCAGTAGTAATCCTTCCATTAACACCACTCTGTAGCATCTGTTGAGCTCTATGTGTCAGGCACTGTGCTAAGTGTTTTACGTATGCTCTCTCACAAAATCTTTATAGCATCCTTATTACTAGACTGTCTTCTTAATTCTCATTTTTACTGATGAATAAGCAAAACAGTAAAGTTATTTACTTGCCCAAGCTCACACAACTTGTTAGTAGGTGTACTTGAACCCAGATCTGCCTGTCTGATGATTGAGTTTATAGTTTTAGCACCACACTACATTATTATAAAGAGATTGGAAAAAGAAAATGGGCATTTATTTTACCTATAATAGAATTCCAGGCTCTAGCAATGGTTTGTATCCTCTTCACCTGTTCCAGTCTCTGTTGATTGATTGTAAAAGGCCGTATGGCATTTTTTATCTCTCCATATTGTATGGAATAAATTTGTGGGTACTGGAATGCCTAAAAATTTTACGTTGCTCATACAGTCTAAAAGGTAAAAGTTATTTGTTCTTAAGAATAACTTCTTTTGAGATTATTGCTGTACTAGGCTTCAAGTACTGAATCTAATGGGAGATTTGTGGAATGATGTAACAGCTGCTTCCTTTCATACTCTATAGATTATTTATCTGCCTTAAGAGGAGTCTTTGAATGTATCATAATGGTCTACATTCTTATTAGTAAAATGTTGTATTCAGATAATTTCTTTAACATTGTATTCACCTAAATGCTTCTTTTATTTCATTTGGAATAACTTACTTACAGATTTTATTTTTTTCTCAGTTATTTGAATATAATATTTTTCATTTCTATGACTATATCACAGTTTAAACATACAAGCCATAAATGTTATAGTTTAAAAGTCTTTCTCTTTTTCCTTAATTTTGTGAGCCATAGAAATTTTAATGAAACTGATGGTTCATTTAATTTTATAAGTTGTGTTTTGCCTACTAACAGAGCCAACAAATAAATATGAAAAGGAATCTTATCAATTTTATATGCTTAACTTTTGGGCTGTTTCAGCATTTCTATTACATTTTAATGTTGATTTATGTTTTCATTGCCCATATAGTATACTGCTTTTTCATGGTATCTATGCAATTATTTTTTAAGCTATATTGATTATATATCCACTTTCATACTAATTTTGGGGGGCTAAAATATTAAATATTTGTAAATAAGTCACAAAAGATAAATGCTTTGTGCCATGAATTCCCATATATAAATGTATTGATATATTATTTTAATATTAGAGAGTGCCAAATTAACATTATGAAATGATATGCCTTCTCAACTCTTGACATTGGAAAACAGAAGTACCTCTAAATGTGAAAAACAAATAATTGATAATATTTTATAAAAACAATAACTTACTACTCATGAATAGTGGATTTAAGTCTACCCATATGCCAAATTAAACATAGCCAGGAAAAATTTATGTCGAAATCACTGAGATCCCAACCTAATTTTCAGGAAAAGAGCTAACATTGTGTATGTTAGCTTGGTTTAGTTCAGGAGAACCATATATCAGACACTGCTTGTTCTCGTATACTTTTCCATAGCTAGAGTGCCCAGCACAGTGCCTGGTCCTTAGCAGGCATTTTAGAAATATTTATTGTGTGAAAGAATAAATGAGTGTCTGATCTTAAATCTCAAAATGTAATACTAGTGAGAAAACTTCTTTGCCTTCATGGAAATCTTTTTAAAAAGCTTATAATAAATTTACCAATGGATACTCTATCCAATTTCATAATTCAGATGAGTTTTGAGAGTTGTTTCATAAATTACCTTAGGTATAAGAACTAAAAACTCCTTAAAACTAAAAGGAAATCAAGAAGATTGCATTAAAATAGCTTATCTGTCTAAAAGATATTTCAGTGTAATATACTTTTACCTTAATATTCCTTAGACTTAATTTTAAGTAGAAAATTATAATTTTCTTTAAATAGAAAGTTTTTATCCACAGGCTGATTTCAGTGTCCTTTCTGATTAACTGGGCTTATGGAAGGCCCTTTGTTTTGCCATTAGTAAACATGAGCAAATGTAGTTATCTGTCAATCAAACAAGCACATGAAAAGTTATTTGAAAATTCATAAAATACCAAGCATCAATTTGCCGCATAAGAATAATGATTCAGCTACTTATTGATATTGTATGTTTTAAGAAAAAGACATAGGCCTTTAACCTGTCTACATGTGGATTGCACAGTCAACATATTACATTTAGAATGTGCACTGATACTTAAATTTAGTTTTTGCAAATAAATAAATAAATACTCTCGGTTATATTCAAACTACGTTTGAGCCCTATGTTAACAGCAAAGCTACCTTGCTCTGTGAGCTTGGGCAGGACTTTACACTACTTTTAGCATCAGTTGTGAAATTAGGCGAGAAAACCTTATTATTAGAAAAATGCAGTACTGGATCAGATTATCCACCTCCAAATTTTTATGCCTTTTCATATACAAAAGCATCTATTTATGCAACCCCAGGCTCCTATGGAACTTTTCTTCCTATCCAATGTTCCTCCTTTTCTCTTTCTGCTCAATACAAATTCTTTCACCCCAGCTCTTGATTTGATCTCTTTCATTCTTGTTGCTTTCTCAAACCTTCTCATTAGTTATTGTTTCTTATGTTATGTCTCAAAAGCTATCTTATTCTTTTCAATGCCTCCTTTCTTTCAGCTTATGAAAATGCTTAATATGCTTAATTTACTGAGGAAAATTTTTTCCAATCCTATGCCACTTTCTTTCCATATCCTCAGATTCTACCCTCTGTTCTGTATTCAAGCTTTTTAAAAACATGTTATCTTATCACTTTCACCTTAATCCGGACCCACTATAATCTAATTTCCTTTTCACTTACCATTTTGTAGCTGAAGGGCACAAATAACCTTATATTTTAAGATCTGATATTTTTTCTATTTTTCTCAGAGAATCCCCATTAAACCTTTTTACTGTTATGCTCCAGAATCTTACTTCAGACCCAGCTCAGCAACTTTTTCTCTTCTTTTCTTTCTGAAATCAAGCTTCAGAGTATCAGCTATCTTTGCTCACATCCTGGCAGCTGCCAGTATTCATTTTATGTTTTTTGATTCTCTGCCAGAGTTCAGACTGGACCTAGCTTCCCTGGCATCTGTTCTTGTTTATCCCTAAAGACAGTCAATTCTATTTTCTTTAATGCAGTTTTTGTTTTCAGTATTCACTGTGTGATTCTCACTTTAAGGGTTTTACTGACCATGTTTGCATGAATATCTGCAACACTAAGCATACTGTCCCCCTATTTGCCATCCTCAGCACAAACATCTATTCCTCAGGAAAATTTTGAGCCATCCTCTGCCTTTATAAATGATTAGGTCTCAATTATAAGTGTATACAGAATTCTGTTCTTTTGCATTAGAGCCCTTATTGTAGTTGTATATTGCATGTTTCTGTCTCAACTCTTCACTGGTTGTAACAATGACCATATTTGTTTAATAAATCCCTTCTTTAGTAATAAATGTCCAAGGCATTTTGTATGGGCCCTTTCATGTATTAGGTGCTCAGTAAATGTGGTATGAGTTAATGAGATATTACAAAACTAAAATTTAAAACCCATGCCTTTATTTTACTATTCAAGGTCATTATCAGTAAGTATACTGCACCTTTTAACTTACAAGATCATGTATCTAACCTGTTTCTGGAACATTTTTACCTGAATATAATCAATCATTCTCAATCTCAACCTGAATATGACAATATCCGTTTTATAAAGGATTAAAGAAATAACACAAGCAAAGAAAATACAGTCTCCTAAATTGATGTTCTATCTTTCCACTGCCCATATTCAGTTATTCATCAGCAATTGGTACCTCAGTTAATGTCACAACCTAATCTTATAAGCCACAACTTGGAAGTATTTCTCAATATCTAGTCAGCCATTAAATCTTGTCCGTTATTCTCCCTACATACCTTAGACCACATCTCCACCATCTCTCATAATTTTTACAGTTTTTTTAACTCCTCTCTAACTCTAATCATGTCTTTTTCTTATCATCTCTGCGTTATGACAGTCAGAATTATTCTAAAACATAGATCATTTTACTCTTCAGTTCTTTAATGAATTATTAAAGGCAAATATTCAAAGTGTATAGTTTCTCTTATATTTGCTTATATGATGAATAATAAGGAATAATTTTTTGTTATTACGTGCTTCTATATGTCTGGGAATATTTCTGTTTTATAAATGAGAATTGGTCAATAAAGTTACCTGGTGGGAATCACATATCTAATAGGACTTAAGATAGGTCTAAGTTTCATAATCATATTCTTTCTCTAACCATTGTTAGCCACCATCATTTCCCCAAACATCCATGCTTCTGCACAGCTCCATAGCATTAGACCTACCACCCGTCTTGCAATAATACCTCTTCTTCTTTTGCTAACTGATAAATTCCTATTGTTTTTTAAGATCAATCTGATTTTATATAATATGAAAACGTTCCAGACTAATGTTTTTGACTTCTCTCAACCCCCAGATTGTATTTTGACACCACCTGGTACAAATTATTTTTACAATGTCTCAATACATTACAGTTTTACTGTAAATAAATCTGTTTCTTGCACTGGTTTAAAAGATCTGAGTGGGTAATATTTTGCCTTATTTGTCACTGTATATGCTGTTACTTAGCACAGCATTTAGTACATAGCTTATTGAGTTGATAAAAAATATATTTACTTTAATTCCTTGAGATGGTTTTCAATTCTAAATCTGAGTCACTGAGTCCAAACTTGCTAAGAAAGTATAGTCAGTGAGTCCAAACTGGCTAGATAATAAATTACTCAAAACATAGACGTAGCAACAAAATATCCCAACTATTATGGAATGTGCCATTATTTTGTGAGTCATTTTATTTAATTCATGGAAAACATCACATTTTCCAGTGTATTTATTTAATTATTTGCATTTATAATATCCTGACTTGTTCCAAAAGTATTTCAGGCAGTTTATCAAAAGAATTCATGCACTTAAATTATAATTAAATAAAATAGATATAAAATTAGAAAATCAGGATGAAAGAAAATAGACTCAAATACATTCATCTTTGGGCCAGCACATTAGCTGCACTCCATAGCAATAGTAGTGGAGCTTCAAATTCTTGCCTTCTTGGTGACCAAAGTAACCCCTTGGGGGAGGGAAGAGTTATTTTTCTTTGGATATATACATTTTCTCAGAAAAAAACTTTTCCTTACACTGAAATTGCCTTTTGAAAAAACAAAATGTCATGTTGGTTTTTTTATTTTTTTTTAATTAGGGGAAGCTGGGTACTGTAGCAAGTGATGTCAAATTTTTCCCAATAAACGCAATAATGGATTTCATATTGATGTTTCTTGTAGTCCCCTTCAATAAAAGCTGAAGGCATTACATTAACATACAACTCAGTGAAAGCAATTCTTCAAGGAGCTAAGCTAATATGGTCCAAGTATATAGCTTTCTCATGGCCCAATTTATTCCAAGAAAAGACTTTAGAGTACTTAGAGAAGTGGATGGACTGTTTAACCTTCAAACAATCTTCTGTAAGTATCACTTTTCTCAGTCAGGATGATCAGTAGACAGTTAACAATAGCATTATCTGACCAATGAGCATGTTGTTATTTTACAAGTAATGGGCTTTCTAGTAGCCACAATAACTGTAAAAAGGCAACATGGTGTGATAGGAAAAGTATAGATTTGCACTTTGGAGACCTGTTTTGTTTTGTTTTTTTCCTCCAAAGCCTGTTATATTCAATATTTGAATGAAAGTCCCATTTCTTTATTGTAAGGAACAGTCACTAAGATTCTTTCTGATTCCAAACCATGTAATTATTATTTTCACTCAAATACGAGGTCACTTTACTCATAGGTATATTAGCTAGAACATCAGCTGAAGTTATTAGCAAATTATTTTCTCTACCACTCATAGGAAGTCAACATTGTTCTGACACCATGGTGTAAGACATTTTAATTTCTGTAAACTGGGTTTTTCTAGACTTGATATTTTAAATATATATCCAAAAGACCTCAGTAAAGTAATACCCTCAAAATATGTTAAGTGTATTAAACATCATTTAAAAATGGAAAATCAATTTGTGTGGATTATATTTCCTTTTTATTGCACTTCATTGACAGCTGAACAGTCAACAAACTATATAACAGCATAGTTTATTCTTCCCCCACCCAGATAGTATATAAAAATACATATTTTTTACTTTGTTTAGAAATTAAACCTTTACATTCTAATGAGATCTAAATCACAAAACGGCTTCTACAAGCATTGCTTTTTTTTAAATTGAGCCTGTTTTATTATTTACCAGTGTACACATCTGTAGATGGTAAAATTGAAGACATCCAGGAAACTTACATAACAGAATTGTAGAATAAGCTATTAAATTATGTATCTACTGATTGATAAAGTATTTATTACAGTTTATGAAACATATTACCTTAAGTTATGCTTTATATGTTGTATATACATTTTTATCATAGTAAGCATTTTGGTTACATGCCACTCATTTATCATTAAGCAAATGTTTTCGAGCCTGCTCTAAGCCAGGAAGCATGTTAGGGCTCTGTAGTACGCAGTCTGTGTCTTCATAGAGCTAACAATGAAGTGAAAGGAAAACAAAAGAAGAGTGAAAGAGATACATACATGTTTCATTTTAGACATAAGCACCGCGATCCTGCTGAAAGGCATGAAATGGCAACTAAGTGCAGGCAGTAGAAAGTGTTGTCTCAGTCGTGTGACTCAATGCTAAGTCAGTGTTAGCCTGGTAATGGTAAGGAGGAAACCAAGGGACAATATGGAGTTAACTACCACCTTTGGCTGAATTGTGTTACCAGTTGCAGGTTAGGGAGTACAAGTGAGTGTACAGATTTCTGCAGGAAGTGAGAGTTCATGGAAGCTGAGTGCATTTCCAGACATTTGTGTTTTAATTACCTGTGGGATATGCAGGTAGAGAAGTCTAGTGAAACTTATTGATTAAGAATTCTGGAGAAATACTGTATCAGTCATTCATGCATAGGTATCTAAAGCCATGAGAATTACTGACAATTAATAGAAAATAGTGTTAATTTGCCTTCCTCTCCCCCAGTCTCCTTTCAACTGATCTCATTCTCAACTTTTAACATTAGCTTTTTTAAAGAAATGACTTCAGAAACACAGTGTTTCTATGTGTATATTTTTGGCTATACCTGGCCTTATTCTGAAAATGATAGGAAGTGGCCTATCTAGGTGCCTTAAAGTAAAAATACATCATTAGATTAGGCAATAGGAAATTAGGCTGTACGAACTATCAGAATTTTTCTAGTTATCAAAAGAAACAAAAAAATTTGTATAGGAACACGAACATTAAAAAATTCACTCATGGATTTGATGGCTGCATAATATTCCATAGCGTATATTATGCAGCCATCAAATCCATGAGTGAATTTTTTAATGTTCGTGTTCAGATGTAGGTGATGCGGAGGAAGGCAGCAAATTACACTGCCACGTGTGTAACTATACAACAATTTTGCATGTTCTTCACATGTACCCCAAAACCTAAAATGCAATAAAATAAATAAATGGGAAAAAAATTCACTCATGGAAATGAGTATTGTTTTTAATCATTAACACAAAAGGTTTCATTGGGTTATTTCTCTTTAGGTTCTGAGTGTAAGCTAAAAGTTACACTAAATAAAGTAAAATCAGTAAAGTGGCCCAAGGATTCAGCCTGCTGGTGGTCTGGCTTGATCCAAAGCTGCATGATATTCAAAGAGGTCGCTATAGTGAAATTTTCTCCCAACATAGTTATTTTTAATAGAAGTTGATAGTGAATAAGGCAATGTAATATCTCCTGGTTATAATTTAGGTAAGCTATGCTTATTCTTTGGTACTATCATTATCAAATCTGTATCTCAAAAAGAATATTAATGATATATAGTGTATAGGCTTAATCTTTAGGCTCTTCTTTAGAAGATCTTAGAATTGTAAGTCAGCTACGAATTCAACAGTATTTTTTCTCCATAAACACGGTTTTAATTTTAAACAAAGCGAAACAATTTGCTTTACTATAGATTTGTAGTTATTACTTTCAAATAGACTGAGGAAGTTATTTTCCCCTTTAAAATGAGACTTTGTAAAATTCTGAGCCAGAAAAGCTTTGCTGAGTTGTGGCTAGGAATTGAGAAGATTTAGCACCATAGGAATGCCCTGCCCTTCATTCAGTGAATTGGTAAGAAATTACAGGTGCCAACAACTAGGTTATTAACTAAAAATAGCACTTATAGCTGTTATATTTTGCTTACTTGGTCCTGAAAATGGCAGTTTCCAAGTCACAAGAGAGCATTTTTGAAGCCAAAACCACTACCTTGTTAAGTTCTGAGCCCTATTCTGACGTTTACACTGATTCAGAGATTGAAGCCATACTTTAAACAATGAAGAAAATAAGACAAATTTTGTTATTTATGCTGTCAATAAATATTACAAGCATAACTTGGAAAGAGTTTTAACCCTGTTTATTAAAGAATCCTTAGTGTTAGCATGGAACAAAAAATGCCAACATACAAATATGCAGCGTGGATATTTGGCTGGTATGTGCTGCTTCTGGTTATTTACAGCCAACGTCAGTTCTGATTGGTTAGAGTATCTGTTCAGATTAGTTAGTCCCTCTGCTCTAGAGTTTTTCAAAGATTTTGTACCTGTATTTACTGGACATATATGTGTAATTGGAGGATATTCAAGTAGGGGCAGGAATATGTTGTTTAAAATTAATACAGCGCTTCTAGCTGTAGACTCCTGTTACAACAAAAGACATTTACATTTTGTGTTTCTTTGTCTACATGTCTAAATTCTACACCATAGTTCCTCATCCAACATAAATGTCCTACTTTCACAAAACTCTCCTTGAGATCTTCAACAAAATATTTGTCTTCTTCTACCTATCACGTAATAAATTATATTGCCTTTACATCTTGTACACCAGTAATCACTGTCTGGTTTGTAATAGTTATGATTTGCACTCCACTAGGAAAATACATGTTTCTCAATGTGGTTAGAATAATACATTTGTCCATTTGTTCATCAGGACAGTTTGATACAACTTTAGTATCCTTATCTTCCTTTGTCAAGTTAGCAGCTGAAGAAAAACATTAAGAAACTTTCTCAAGGCCCAGATTCTTTATATGTGCAATTTGATACCATTTTAAATGATGTTACAATTTGGTTCAAATAATAACATAAACACATGCATTAGAAAAAAAAAAACATTATGTTATTATTTGAACCACATGGGACCAGTTGTAACATTATATAAATTACAAATTGTAACTTATATGCATTATAAGTTAAAAAGTCATTTTTGAAGATTGATCTAGTAGTATAAAACTCAACAACCATATTTTAGGAAAAAGCATATTCCCAAGTCTCAAACAGCTTCCTCAGACAGAAAGTCACATGACATGATGTTTAAAAGAAGAGGTTTAGAAGTCAGATACATCTAAGTTTGAGTCATTTTTCAGCCCTTTAACAGGTAGGAGACCGATCAAGTCACAAAACTTTTTTAGCATTCATTTTTGAACTTATATCATGGGATTAATAAGGGAATTTAATTCCTATCTCACAGTGAGATTTCACCTCAGCTAACAATTAACCTGACACATTCTAGTGCTCAAAAGTGTTAGCTGTAATTTCCTTATCAGTCTTTGACTTGGGGATTATCCTCCATTTGTAACATGGGAACTATATGCATCATTACTGAAGAAGAGATGTTCTGTAGCGTTTATAAATTTACAAATGGTGATCCCACCTCCCTCCTTTTTTCATAATTAAGCTAGATCTGGAAGAATGTCAGCAGGGTAAAGAGGAGAGGGAGAAACCCAACACAGTGAAAGATGAGTAATCCATGACTGTTTTTAGATTATCTTGGGCTTTCAGAGTTCCTTTCTTAACTTATTTGAACACGTTAAGAAATATTAATTAAAATAACTAAGAGTTAAAATTTTATTGTAGAACAATTTTTCTTCTATCTCAGTTTCTTTACACACTACTCATTATGTTGGATAATTCACTGCTGTCTGAATTTACATTGCATTTAGATAACTAACAATATATTTGTATTAGTAAAGAAACACAAATACTGTTTATATTTTCATTTTATTTAATGAATTATATATTAATTCACTGATGTGGCTACCTTGTAGAAAGCTTCATGCTAAGTGCTAAGATTACAAAGATAAACAAGACAGAAGCAGCACGAGACTTCGTTGAAAGAGAAAGCAAGATGTCAATCAAATAATCACATGACTAAGAAATAACACATTTTGAAAAGTGTCAAAATGGAAACAGGCTGTTATGAATGAGAATATATGGGGACCAAATATATGTTTAGTTAGAGCGTCCTCAAGAAAGTCCGTTTTTAGGAAATGGCATTTGAACCAAGACCAAAATGAGAGAAGGAATTGGTGGTCATGTGAAAAGTGGAATGGGGAGAAGGTATTCCAGGTTTTCAAAATTGAGGTGTTTTGGGCTGGGGAACTATCATGGCGAAAAACATGGCATGAAAGCAAGAAAATATTCTGAAAACTAAGATTATTTCAGGGGAACCAGTGTGTAATGCGCAAAAGAAAGAAGCCGCGATTTTAAAAAAATGTTGTTTCAATTCTAAATTCCATAAAATAGTATTTAAGGGATGTAAGCATAGAAGCTAAATGATCCAATTTTTGTCTTAAAAAAGATCCCTGTGACCATAATGTGTCTAATGATTGAACAAACTCAAGCCAAGCTAGAAGAACACAAAGTCCAGGCAGGAGATAATAGTGACATAAACAAGAGTTTGTGATAACTGAACAAGAGTTTGTGATAACTGAACTGGAGATTATAAAGAGAAACGGATGAGCTAAGCAAAAATCCAAGAGTTTGTATTTTATTCTCCTTCTGTGTTTCTAGTATTTGTTGCACTGCCATCTTTATAAGGTTACAGTTTCCCATCATCTGAGTAAAGCATTGCTGTATGATTTTGACATGAGGTGGGAGGGAATCCTGTTTCGAAGCTACGAATGTGGGATCATTCATTGTAGATTATCATTCCTCTTGTTAAAATATTTCTACATTTCACTTATTCATTCAATCATTCATTTGACAAATATTTGAGTGACTCATGAGTAAAAAAAAAGTTACATTGTTTTATTATTTGATTTATTATTTGATTTATTTATTATTTTTTGAGACAGAGTTTTGCTCTTGTTGCCCAGGCTGGAGTGTAATGTTGTGATATTGGCTTACTGCAATTTCCGCCTCCCAGGTTAAAGCAATTCTCCTGCCTCAGCCACCTGAAGAGCTGAGATTACGGGCATGTGCCACCACAACTTGCTCATTTTGTATTTTAGTAGAAATGGGGTTTCTGTATGTTGGTCAGGCTGGTCTCAAACACCCGACCTCAGGTGATCTGTCCACCTTGACCTCACAAAGTGTTAGGATTACAGGCATGAACCACCACGCCCTGTCTTTATATTGTTTTTTTAAGGTTGTATTTTTCTATTGTTTATTTTCCATGTCAACCACAACAAGATTTTCCAGGAAAGTGGTACCATTAATTTTACTCTGGGGGTTTTCTCACCCTAATGGATTTGGGATTTAATAAGCACATTTATTTATTTTCCCAATTTCTGTTTTTTTTTTTTTTTTTTTTTTTTTTTTTGAATGCATCATTATTTGTATTAGGATACTTTCCTTCAGAATTTGAAGTGGACTTTTGAAAATGTTATGTAGCAGACTCAACCCACACTCTCTTAATTTTTTGTATTTTTCAATAGAAAAAAGAAAAGGCCTCTGTTATGATACAGAACAATGCTTATGCAGTGGCTGTTGCCAATTATGCCCCGAATCTTTCAAAAGATCCAGTTCTCTCCACCATCTCCAAGAGCGCAACCACGCCAGAACCCAACAAGAAGCCGGAAAACAAGCCAGCTGAAGCCAAGAAAACTTTTAACAGTGTTAGCAAAATTGACAGAATGTCCAGAATAGTTTTTCCAGTTTTGTTTGGTACATTTAATTTAGTTTATTGGGCTACATATTTAAACAGAGAACCTGTATTAGGGGTCAGTCCTTGAATCGAGACCCATATTATCTTTGGGATGTATAGCAACATTAAATTTTGTTTGTTTTGCTATGTACAGTCTGACTAATAACTGCTAATTTGTGAGCCAACATGTACAGTATGTATATAGTGATACAGCTTACCAGTAGACCTTTAATGGAGACATGCATTTGCTATCTCATGGAACTGCAGACAGAAAGCACTCCATGCCAAAAGAGTCATTGCCTTTTGCCAAGATTTACCCTTGGACCTAATTTTAAGTGAATTTCAGATGACCTGATTTATTTCCTATCCTTCTAATAGAGATGAAAATGGGAATCCTGTACAACCCTTTATGGACCCTTATGGATTAGCTCTTAAGTAGGGGTATTTTCTACTGTTGCTTAGTTATGATGGAAGACAACATTGTTATTCATAGATGAATTCTTCTAAGTAACAGAACATTGTATCTGCAACATCATCTCCCTTCATGAGTGCTCAGAACGCCTGCTAATGTAATTGGAAGCTTGGCACATATAAGAAAAACTAGAGATTTGAAATCAGCTTTTAATTACTCTGTATAGAATCTATAGCCATGTACATATTTCAGCATGACAAATTCAAATAATTATGAGTCCGCCCGACAGGTTGTTAATTATGCCTATGATTTAATAACTATTGGAATGTCATGGTCATTACATTTTTAGCTTCAGAGTTTATTTGAAACTAATAATTGAAATCCTATAATTTATTTCAGTCATTGGAAGCTACCTTAATTAAAAAAAAAAAAAAAAAAGAAAATAAATGTGTCTTACTCTTTCCAGGTATGTGTTGTATTGAAATTGATCAGCTAAATTTTATTGGTGCTGGACACTGAAAAAAGCATCCAGTTTGGTTGCTGTGGAGCAACATGCATATTGGATTAGAAAATTGTGCCAAAAACTCCCGCAGATGAGAATTCATAGGTGTCCCACACTACGATGAGCACTTATATGATTCTCCTCTTTCCTGTTTACTGCAAATTCTGCCTTAAAGCTTCTTTTCAAGACTCAGAAGCCACTAATTATAAAGGAAAGGGCAGTTAATTGGCACATTTTTCTGTTGTGAAAGCAGTTCTTTCAGTTAAGAATTAATGTAAATCTGCTTTTGTAAATTGCAACTTTAAATTTCGCTGACTCAAGTTTACAACAGCTTTGTATACCAGAAGAGATTTTGGTAAGTGTTGAACATTTTTACACTGCAACTTTAAAACATCACCAATAGATTGTGGATTATTTCACATACACAAACATAAACACACACACACACGCACACACACACACACACACACACACAAACACAGCTAAATTAAAAACCACAATTTTTAATTTTATATAATTACTATTAATTGATAAAATTCATTTTTCTTTTAATATTTTAAAATATTATTTACACCCCTGAAATATGCTAATACAATTTAAAAATTGTGTATATTCCTAGATTCAAAGTTTTTGGCAAACCTCAAGTATTTTTGATTGACATGTACATTAGCAGTTATTAGTTGACTTTTACTATTAGATGCACCTTTACAATGGTGTTTTTGTAGAAACATAAGTAGTCAAATAGTGACATTTCTTGCAGTTTTGTACAGTATTTGAGTATAGTGCATAAATAGGTATGTTCATAAAATCAATAAAAGGAATATCTGTGGAAATAAGCAAAATCTCAACAAAATTGCTATTCCTTTGCCTCATTTAATTTTTTTAAATTTTCTTTGTTTCAGTGTGATTCTATTATATGTTTTGCATGATTGTATAATACCAAGGTCACAAATGCATCTTATTAACGGAATTTGCCAAGAAGACAGTCTTGGCATTAAAAATTCCCTCTCAAAAGGTAACCCATAATCCTTAATAAAATAAAATTGTTACATGAGCCAATAAATGTATTTCTTTAATTCCCTTCCAGTAACACCTTCTTTGTCACCTAGTTTTAAAATGTGCACTTTATTTATACATTGAAACAGAAGATATCCTCTTATACATTTAAATATAGCATAGCTCTTCTGTGTAGTTTAGGGACGTTTGAAATTGTATGAGAAAGTACACAATGCTTGAAAGTAAGCAATGAAATTGCTTTATGTGATATGCATTATTAGACACGTTAAAAATATTTTTCTTGTAAAGTCCACATTGCCCCTTTAATGTCTGACTATGAATTATAAATTTATAAATATGTGAATATGTAAAAATCATTGTAAATAACAGTTTCTGTATGACCACAGAAAAGATTCATCTATACTTTAGGCAAAGAGCTGCTATTATGTTGATGGCACTAGTTTTGTTAGCATTTAAGATTGACCAGGAAACTTATTATTGTTATTATTATTTTTAATTTCAGTTGTTAAAATTTTATTTGAGTGCAATGGCATTCTGACAGTTTAGATTTTTCAGTAATGTGGATCAGGATTCTCTGTAATTTCACTAGAGATGCTTCATGGAAATTGCTTTTGAATTATAGAACAAGATTTTCAACAATTATTCTCCTTTCCATGAACCAATTTAAAAACAAATTAAAAGAATGTTAATTTATCACAATAAGACCAATTTTTCAGGAAATACATTTTACATATACTAACACTGATCTCTTTGACCCATAATATTATGCCTATTTTATGCAGTTATATAATCACATAAAGTGTTATGGTATGTACAAAATGTAGATAAATACATGTACATATATAGAAATATAATCTCATTATTTTATAGCCACTACTCTGATTCAGCTAATATTTATTCAAAAATATTTTTACCTCCTCTGCCATGCCCTGAAATTTGTGTTAATATCACTCATGTAACATCCACTGAATTTAGTTGAAACTTTAAGTACATCTCAATCTTTTAATGACTTGAAATTAAAGACTATATAAAACATTTAAATTAACTAAGTACTGGGAGTTCTTTAATGAGCTATGATACCACTAGTGTGCTAACGTGGTAGCTGTTTTTCTCTTCTCTCCTGTTCATGTTCCTATATGTTTTATTATGAAATGGAACAAATAGAAATATTTAACAATTTTTTTAAAACTTTAGTGATTTTATTAAGTGCCAATCTTAAGGTTTAGAAATCTATTCAGGGATTTCTTTGTTTTGAATTGATCTCAGGTTTGGATAAGTGGTCTCCTTGAGCTGTGTTTCTAAATTTTTTTCTTAAATAGTTCATAGTTTATTTTTAAAAACAACACAGAAGCTATGATTTCACTCTCATTTTTTTGGTAAGTATATTTTGGCAAATATATCTCGGGGGAGATAGATATACAATTGCATTTATGTGGCTCTTTTGGAATTCCTGGTTGAGGGACAAGAATCCTGCCATGATATGATCATGGATTCTAGAAGAGCACCAAAGTTTTAGAAGTACTTTACTTTGTCATGGCCTGTCATCATTCCAATGAAAGAATAAAGGAAATTGCTCAAGTCGCCTTCTGCATTGTCATGGTTCTTCAGCATGACAAAAAAAAATTGTTTAATATATTCTATGCCTAATATCCTCAGATACATGTCTGTGAAACATAGACATATATATTTACTTACTTGGAAATACAAAGTCATGTTAATGGATTACGAAACAGATTATTTGTGTTATTAGTCTCCTGACTCACCTACATTCATCTGGATATTTTTGAAGCAATGGCCAAAATTTTAATCATATGAAAAGATACAGAATTTTAAGTGAATTAGTACCTGGTCCATTGCTACCCTGTAGTGCCATTTATTTTCCATTTAACTGAGGTCCCATAGGCACCTTGTGCTTCCCCTTTATTAGTTCAAAGTGTGCAGAAGTGTAAAATTTTAACTGGGGAGGGATGCAGTTATTTTTGACATCTGAATGGTTAAGAAACATGGATACTATATTAAAACCACTTATAATAGAGTGGACCAGACAGTTATAGTTTTATCTACTGAATTCATGCTTTAAAAATGAAAGTAAATATTTAATATAATTATTTAATATTCATATTTTGCTATTAAAATTTATATTAAATATATTAATATTTTTCATCAGTATTTAAAAGTTCAGAGTATTGGAGAGAAGAACCCACAGGAAATGTGAGGCTGTTGCTTATTAAACCAAGTGAAGCATATTTTCTGAGAAAGTAGATAAATTATACATATGTAGACACACAAATATTTTAAGAGTCTTTATTCTATTTTAGATAAATTATACATATGTAGACACACAAATATTTTAAGAGTCATTATTCTATTGTAGTAAGCATCATAATTAAAATACTGAAGTAGAGAAAGTTCATGTGAAAGACATTTGGGAAGGCAATAACTTATTCAAAATCTACTTGTAAATATTATATATCGTAACTTTGTTTTTTGCTAAAATTCTTAATTACGAACATATATCGACCACTGTGTCCTCCATCTTGTTTAGTTGAAATATTCTATTTTTGTTTGTTTATATATGAAGAACAATGTGTACCAGTAATTATACATCCCACCTCAAACTACTTGATTATGTATTTAATACATAACATTACCTAATATTGCCAATAGGAAAGAACAATTAACAGATTTATGTTTCAGCTTACAGTAATGTTCCCAAAGACCTTTTAATAAGGTCTTAGCTGTATGTGTCAGTGATGTATGTATGTTTGTGAGCGTGTATGTGTGTAATTCCTAGGTATGTATGGAAGAATATTTTAAGAAACTTGAATAAATGTATGAAATCTAAAAAATTTGTTTTATTAATGGATCCAATCATAAATTCAGTTATTAAACTAAAAATTGACCAATAGAATACCTTTTTCAGTAAATCCATAACAAGCCTATTAATTAGAATTAGGTTTGAAGTATGCATATGATTAAAAATATCTTTTCTATGTTTCTGTAAACATTTTTCCAATGTATTTCTAGTTTTTTTTAAAGATAAAATTCAAAATGATCTTGCAATTCTGCTTTGTGAAATAAAACAGAAACATCTTTGAATGCTAATTTTCTCAATGGAGGCTTATATAAGCTGTTTTAAAAGTTAAACATCTGGTTATATACAAATACAAAGTCATCTATATTCAATACTGGTTTGTTTTATA